CCGGGCCCAGAAAAGGGCCCAGGACCAGAAAAAGGGGGGGGGGGGGGGGGGGTAGTGAAGGAGCTGGTGCAAGTGTTGAGGGAGTAGGAGCTGAATGGATATCAAGGAAGAGGAAGGAAGCGAGAGGAGAGGGAGCGAGGCTACTGACTTCTCAGGATTCATCGTTGCGATCATACTAGTCTTGCAGTTTCCTTCACAGCACATTTACGTCCCATCCCCTCCTGCCGACGGAACTTTCTCACCTCCCAGGGAGTCGCGGAGCACCGAAGTCATCATGGAGTTGCGGTAGGGGATGTGGCGCTGGTTCTTCCCCTGCTCAGCGAGGTCAGGCAGGACGGGGGCAAAGTGTGGGAGAGCGAAGACAGGAGGGAGGAAGGGGATCAGGTGGGGAGGGACACTGGGGTTGGGTGGGGCATCAGGTGGGGAGGGGAGAAAGGGACATCAAGGGAAGGAGAGGGGAGCGCTGAAGAAGGGAAGGAATCGGAGGAAGCGGAGAGAGGGGGAGGGGAAGGGGCGGAGAGGCATCAGCGTCACTGACTTGGCTCCTCTCTTGTAGAGCCACGATGACCATCTCAAGGAAGTGGAGGCTGCAGACAGGGGTTAGAGATTGTTGTAGGAGATTGAGGATCAGTGAGTGGGAAGAGGCGGCATGAGCAGGAGAGGAGTCAGATGCAGAGTTGCGATGGAGGAGGGAGGGAGAAGGAGGAAGGAAGGAGGAGAAGGAGGTCGATGATGACCTGACGTTGATGTACTTGCTCTCCTTCAACAGACTCCCCTGAGCTGATGTCTGCAAGCACAAGGTCACAGGGGGCCGGTGGAGGCGTCGCTACCCCGAGTGACCTTGTAGACTCGCTCGGAGCCGGCGAGGTCGACGAGGTGAAGTTTCGACTTCCGGATGACGTCAGTCCCGACCTGAAACAGCAGAGATGAATGCGCACGCCGACTTCTCCCTCCCCATACCTTGCACGCTGTGATGAAGAGAGTGAAGATGCAGTGGGAGCGAGAAGAGGCCTGAGGTGGGCAGCTCTCAGCAACAGGGAGGGACAGGGCAGCGACTGTCCCACCAGGTTCATGGGGGTCTCGGAGGTCGTGCGGATCGTGTCGCCAAGAAACAGAAGATTGAGGGCCTCCTCCTCCGACGGCGCATGGTGCGCCGATAGGTTCTTGAGGTGAATGTTGCCTGCCCCCCTCTCAGCTCCCCGTCATGCCCTCCCCACGGCTCCAACTCACCATCCTCGTCCTCCTGCAGAGAGACTTTGGGCAGGTCTTCCAGCTGCTTCGCCTGCTCCTCGAGCGAGGGGTCGAGTAGGTCGTACCCATTGTTGTTGTAGATCTCGAGGTAGGAGACGTGGATCTGATACGAGAAGTCCGATCGCCGCCGCAGCTCGTTGTAGATGTGGGAGAGGGTACGTGGGATGATGCCGCGATCGGCGTACTTCTCGGGTCCCCCCGTCATGGTGAAGGTCTTCCCAGAGCCGGTCTGCCCATAGGCGAATATGGTGCCATTGAAGCCGTCTAGCGCCGCCGTCACGGCAGGGAGGGCGACGTCCTGGAATATCTCCTCCTGCCGTGCTTCCCGATCGAAGACCTTGTTGAAACGGAACTCGTGCCGCTCTTTGGTATTGTTGATCACCTCCACCGCCTGGTTCTCCTTGGGGATGTCGATGACCAGCCCTTGCCCGTCGTCGACGATCTCGTAGTTGCTCAGCTGCTTCTTCGTCGGGCGGATCCGCAGGAAGATGTTGATCTTGTTCTCCGTCATGGTGCTCAGGTAGACTAGCAGGCGCACGAGTTTCAGGGCAGCAACATCCTTCTAGCGAGCAAAGAGCGTCTTTCTATCAACTTTGGAGCTTCGGAGAGCAGACGGTCCATGGCATCACATCAAGAACTTTTGGGTTCGATGTAAGCGCACCTTCAAGAATAGAAAGCTCGTTAGCTCCCGAATCCACCAGAGCATGCAACGTGGGGTGAGTGGACGCAAAATCCAGCAAATCTAATTTCGGACCCCATTATTTCCCCTTCATCGCATCGACTATGATTTGCAACAGCAATCTTAAACACTGCTTCAACGGTTTGTCACATCAAATCATCATGTATTCCCTTCCCTCCACGCCACTATATGGAGTTCAGTCGCTTTCCTATACCCCTCGCCTTCTATTCCCTTTTCCTCCTTTCCCCTCAGATCAACCTTGCTCCCTTCCCCTACACGTCCTCCACTTCCTTCTCCTTCTCGCTCTGTCTTCCTTCTCCTCTCTTCTCGTATCCTCTCCCTCCTGACCCTCCCTCACCCCACTCCCGCCCACTGGGCTGCCATCATCCGTTGATCGAATATTCCAGGCCCTCATCCCCTGCTGTCCATCCGGGGCCCGAGCCGCTGCCGGGCCCGAGGCCCGGCCTGCACTCTCAGTGCTCGATCGGCCGAGGGCCCGGCCAGTGGTAACTTGAGCAGCTCATCTCATGCACTTTTGGTAACTTGAGAGGAATGAAGTGCAGCAGCATCATCGCCCCCCTCTCACCTGATATAAGGACACGTAAGGTTTGTTGGGGGTGGGGGTGGATACCCCTGTGGTATTTCACATTGAATATCACAGTAAAAACAGGGGTGTAGTCTCCTACCCTAGCATAAAGTACCCCCTTATGCCATCCGGAGCCAGCCGTCGGGGGGCACAAGACCGACGGGGGGTAGTATTTTGCTGAGGAACCCCTTGCGAAAAGAAGGGGGTACACTTGGGAAATGATAGGGGTCAATTTGATATGAAAAGAATCCTGAACACGGTAGGGGGTAGATGGAATTGGGTGGGGGGGTCAATGTTTTAAGAGTACCCACGGGGGTCCAATGACCTTATCTACTGGGGGTGGGGGTAGTCGGTGTGCAGTCTGCGATAATTGTGTACCGGTACTTTATAGTCTCATTGAGATGAAAGAGGGTGGGGTGGGTTCTAGAGGATCCGAGGGTTGCAAGAACGAGAATGGGAAACTATGGGGTAGGTGGTGAAAACAAGGGGGTGCAAAATCAAAGGGGTAGTGCCTTGGATCAGGGACCACGACGGGGTCTAAGTAATATTCTTACTACCCGTCTTTAAAAGGTTCAAAATGGTGGTAGGGTAGTACCAACTTGTTCAGTCTGAAGAGGGAAGAAGGGGTACGATATCTTCGTGGGGTCCGAAAGACCATCTATGCCATGGTGGGTAGTTGAAAGAGTGCGTAGGGGTAGGTGGTAAAGAAGAGGGTAGGTGGGTAGGGGTGGGGGTATAAAGGAGAGAGGCGGCTGACGAGTTTCCTCAGAGGTATGGCCGCGCTCGCTCTCCTGCTCTGCAGCGCTGCAGGCGCCTACGCGTTCACAGGACCTGCTCCTGTCGGTGAGAACATGAGAACTAAGTGTGGTGGAGCTTCGGAGAGCTGAAACAGAGAGATCCCCGTGGGATTTAGTTGAGCGCGAGGCAGGTTCAGGAGGAGAGGATTCTTCGATGAGCAGGCAGGGATACCAGTATGTCAGGAGTGGAGAGATGGTGTGGATGCCTTAGCATGGACAGCAACGATATGCCCATGCTAGCGATAGCTCTTGCGTGGTGTTGGAGGGTGTAAGTGATGTGGAAGCACGTCCGGCAGCCATGACTGTCCTTGGAGTTGCTCCGACCTCCAAGGACTTGGTGTACCTGAGGCATGAGTACGAGAAGTGGGATGCATGAGCTCGAGATAACGCTGAGAGATAGACGAGACGAGATGGAGCAGGATCGTTTCATCCTCTGACCTGCAACTGCAGCACTCCGCCATGGACGTGCTGGAGCTCTCTCCCAGCGCCTCTCCATGGCTGCGACCATCCCCAAGGTTCCCTTCAGCGGCGTCAGCCCCACCGGACCTTCGGGCCCCACCCTCCCTGCTCCCGGGGAGGACCTCGAGTTCCTCGAGGCCAAGCCGTAAGTGGTGTTGCGACAGTGATCTGACGGTGCTGACGTTGGGAGGCAGTTACTGGGACCAGTCCGGAGTCCAGGTGAACATCGCCAAGCAGAAGAACCCCCTCATCGGCAAGATCATCTCCGTCCAGCGCATCGTTGGCCCCAACTCTCCTGGAGAGACCTGCAACATCATCATCGATCATCAGGGTCAGGCGCTGAGAACCCTCGTTTGTGGAGCTGACTCGATCTACAGGCAAGCTCCCCTACTGGGAGGGCCAGTCCTACGGTGTCGTCCCCCCGGCATCGACCCGAAGAAGAACAAGCCCTACGGTGTTCGCCTCTATTCTATCGCCTCCACCCGCTACGGAGACGACAAGACCGGCAAGACCACCACCCTCTGCGTTCGCCGTGCCACCTACTGGTGCCCTGAGCTCAAGGCTGAGGACCCCGCCAAGAAGGGTGTCTGCTCCAACTACCTCTGCGACTCCAAGCCCGGTGATGAGATCTCCCTCACCGGACCTTCCGGCAAGGTCATGCTCATGCCCGAGGACGACCCCAACATGACCTACATCATGGTCGCCACCGGAACTGGTATCGCTCCCTTCCGCAGCTTCCTCCGCCGCCTCTTCGGCGAGGTATGTGCTCCCTTGTCGTCCTTGACAGCCCCTCACGTTGTCTTCTCTTAGGGCAACCCTGCTGGCAAGAACTTCAAGGGTCTCGCCTGGCTCTTCCTCGGAGTTGCCAACAAGGACTCCCTCCTCTACGACGAGGAGTTCCAGGTTTACCTCCGCCAGAACCCTGACAAGATGCGCCTCGACTACGCGCTCTCCCGTGAGGGACCTCTCAACAAGAAGGGCGGCAAGATGTACATCCAGGACAAGGTCGAGGAGTACGCTGACGAGGTCTTCGATGCCCTCGACAAGGGAGCCCACATCTACTTCTGCGGCTTGAAGGGCATGATGCCTGGAATCCAGGACATGCTCAGGGGAGTGTGCGAGTCCAAGGGCCTCAACTTCGAGGAGTACCTCGAGGGCTTGAAGAAGAAGGGCCAGTGGCACGTCGAGGTTTATTAAGCTGTTCATGCATGAATGAAAGACTCCAAAATGCATCTCAAATGTAGTCTTGATGTTTGTCTGCTGAGGTTGGATTGGTTGTTCAACTGATATGGGCGAGGTTCCTGTTCGCAGGGCAACATATTGCAATGACACGTGCAATAATATGATGCATATGGAAACGTTGTTTGTAATGTTTCACACACGTTTCGAACCTCCTGCTCAGGATGCCATGGGAGACACGTAGAGTAAGACGGCTTCCTCCAGTTTGCCACGGCTGAGTGGGGAGGACTACGGAAAGATCTGCAGCCTCTTCATACTATCCTTCGACGCTTCGCCAAGTGACTACAGAGGGCTCGGGTCTTCTCGCAGTCGCTCTCTCGCAATACTGGTGAACTGGAACGGACTCAGAAGAGCAAAGGGCTCCTCCTCCTCCTGCTCCACCACCACCACCACCACCACCGTCTCCTCCTCCTCCTCCTCCTCCTCCATCCCCATCCCCATCCCCATCCCCATCCCCATCCCTCTTCCCTCTTCCTCCCCCTCCACCCCCTCCTCCCACACCTGTGTCCCCACGTAGAATTGCAGCTCTCCCTTCATGTCAAAACAGGCTGCAACCCGGTCAAGCACAAGAAAACGACCTCGTGGTCATACCTGCAGGCTGAGATGGTTCCAGAAGGAGGTCCCGTCCTTCTTGTAGCATATGATACATGTGCTATCACTGACGTCAGCAGCTGCAAACTCATCGCCGCAACTCTGGTCTCCTTGCTGAAAACTCTCCTCCCTGGCCCCCCCTTCCTCATCTCCAATTACTCTCCTGCTCCTGCTCCTCCTTTGATTCCTCCTCCTCCTCCTCCTCGCTCCCCTTTCTCCCACCTGACTGATGTCTTCCTCTCCAATGCGCCCTCTATCATGCCGATTGTGGTTTGGTCTGTCTCCTTGCCGAAGAGGAAGGAGAGGGTTTGTCCCAGGATCTGCGAGGGAAGAAAGCCTGTTGTCTCGAAGAAGGCTGCCGAAAACATGAGCTGAATATCAAGGAGGAGGAGGAGGAGGAGGAGGAGGAGGAGGAGGAGGAGGAGGAGCAGTAGTGGTAGAGATGGTGGGGCGGAGGAGGAGAATTAGCAGGAGGATGACCATAACGGCGATGATGATGATGCTG